TTCCTTTTTAAGTAGTAGTAGAACATTAACAATCCTGCAGTGTGTCATATAGCTGTAGTTAGAGAGGACTGGTAAATGATATTGAGATTCTGCTATTCCCTCCCTTACCTTTATCAATAGCTTCAGGTACATTTCATCCAGGCTTGCGGATTTATCTACATTCAATGAGGCCTCTCTCTCTATTTATTCCATCCAATATTACATACTCCTCCTCTTTAACTACAATGTCTGTTTTGTCCCACCCCTTTATAAAACTAGATGCAAAGTATTCACTAACAGTCATGCCATGTTTTCTGTTTCACACACGGGTTATCTTTCTAATTTCCATTAGACCCTACACTTTATTAGTTATCTTCTTGCTTTCTTCTGTATTTATAAAAATCTTGATGTTTTCTTGATATTGTCAATATTTTCCATTTTATCTCTTCAGTTTTTTAATCTATATTTTAAATTTCACCCTAGTACTTTCTACACTTCTCTAGGATGTCTAACATGTAGATTCCATTTCTGTCTTATCTTATTCTACAATGCTCCTTGGCATCAGGGAAGCTTTATATTTAGTAATCACATACATTACTACAACAAGGGTGGCTTAGTGGTTAGTACCGCTCCCTCACAGCACTGGGGACCCCGGTTCAATTCCAGCCTTGGGCAACTTTCTTTGTGGAGTTTATAAGTTCTCCCCATGTCTATATGGGTTTTCTCTGGTTGTTCTGCTTTCCTCCCCCAGTCGAAAGAAGTGCAGGTTAGGTGGATTGGCCATGATAAATAGCCCTGCAGTGTGCAGGTTAAGTGGGTTAGCCATGGGCAATGCAAGGGGATGGGGATGGGATAGGGGGTGGGTCTTGATGGGATCCTCTTTGGAAAGTCACTGTGGACTTGATAGGTCAAATGGCCTGCTTCCACAGAGTAGGGATTCTATGATTAAAAACTGTACGTTTTGAAGTCTATCTTCTCCCTTATCTATTTAATACCGCCTATCTTCAAGTAGCTGGTTCCATTTCACTTTCAATAATTCAAAAGATTGAACTATCCTTAATTGAGAACATTTGCTCCCAATCCTCCTTTGACATTTTCCATAGCTACACTACATCCAAACAAATTATGATTGCAAACAACAAAACATTCTCTTGTAGATATCTTTCCATATCCCCAGCTTTATTCTCTAAAACTAAGTTCAGAAATACCCCAACTTTTGTTGTGCTTATTAGGTATAGTTTGGCCAACAGGTCCTGGGGATTTGGGTGTTTTCGGTTCATTCAATTTGTTCAATACCATTGCTTGAACAATACTAATTCGATTAAGTTTTTATCTCTATTGATTCTTGGTTACCCACTATTCCACAAATGATTTTTCCCTCTGCCACCATGACATGTATACAAGGTATTAATATCTCTGACTTATCCAAATCACCTACTCTAACTTGCCTTGTTGAAATGAGATGAACATATACATTTGCTAATCTCTTGTCTTTTGCATACATACAAAGGTTTTGACAATATTTTTAGTGTCTTTTGTTCGTTTAGTCTCATTTTCTATTCTCTTGATCAAGTTCTTAGTATTCAACAAAGGAGCATCAAGAAAGTCTCAGCCATCACACCTGCTGCTCTTTTTGACATTAAAAGCCTCTTCTTTCATGTTTGGACCACTACTTTTCTCCCTGCTCCTTAAGATAATATATATTTGTTGTGTATTAGGAAAAAATTGAAACCCTACTTTTGGCATTAACTAAATGACTCTCAAAATCAACAAAGATCTATTAGTTTGTGGCTATTTTTCCCCAGAACTTCCTTTACTTCATTATTATTAATTCATTGTACAATGCCAAATATAAAGTAGCCCACTGACATACAAATGAGCTTGAATCCATTCAACTCATCCTCCATTTAATTACTGGAACTTCTACCAATCTAGAAGAAAATTGTAGCTTCCTGTTAATATATTAACATTACGTAAATCTCTAACTTTCAAATGTCTCAGTTTAACACTTCCACTACTGTTTGGGGGCTAGCTTTAATAGTGTTTTCTGCTTTTGTTTGCTTTTAAGATTGGAAACTGAAGATAATGAATCAGTTTGGCTGGGGCTAAGATGCTTTCTCTTTCCTCTCTTTATCCCATCCTTTTATCTGGATATATCTCCATTTCCGTTTGCCTATAGAAAAGCCAAATATTTGGAATACCCAGTCATGACCTTTGGTCACTTTAAACATGTACCTCTGCAATGATTACTAGATCAAATCCATTTATTTCTGTCTATATATTCATCCTTTTTGTTGCAAATGCTTCACCATTCAGATACAAGCATTTCAGTTTTAAATTTTGCTAGTTTTCTCTGATGTTACCTTCATCACTGATGTCCTGTCATATTTACTAAGACACAGATTTAAGTAATTAGCAAATAAAAATGAAGCAGAGATAGACAGTCTTTTTTAAAGTCATAATCTGCAGTGGCTTCCTTCTTTGCCATCGGATTCTGTTTCTGAAGTGCTCACATTTCTTTAATAGTTCAGTGGTGACTGCTAATATCTAATACACATAATGGAGAAAGTATGATGCAAACCAGGAGAACCTACTGATCAGTTTGATAAAATGTGGTCCTCATTTAAATATCACTTTCTTGAAGATGGGAACTGCAATAATAGGGCTGATTACATCCTCAAAGAAAGCCTGTTCATTACATTTGCAGTCATTACTTTAACAACTAGAGTTGTCCTTATTAGCAGCTAACAGTCATTTCCATATAATTTGGTGCAGCAAGAACAAACTGTACATTTTAATTGGTAATTTTACATCAAAATTCATTATAATTTCCCACATGCATCTAGATTTATAGCAATTTAAATTTAATCCAAAATTACTCATTTCAGTACTAATTGAACACCAAATATGTCAGAAACTATTTATGCCTTACTGATATGAGATTTTCTCATAACTACAGATGCTAACCTTGATTGTATTGATGTCTAAGCCTAACAAATTAATACTACGTGACAGTTTTGTAATTATTTCACAATCTCTGTTCCAAAGTGCTCATGGTATAAAAGGGAATGAGAGAATTGTTGATCTATTTCAGGTAAATGCCCCTTTCAAGGGGTAGTCATAGATGGCAATGCAATGTCCAGCCAACTCATCTAACCAATCACAGCATTTGATTGCTTCTAAATGGATGCAAATGTTTCAGTGTCTACAACCATACCAGCATGACATGACAGTAGTTACACAGTCACGACCCCTAACAGATGGACCAAAAGATGCATCCTTTCTGCTGTGAACAGGTTTTTACGAAAAACTAGGATGGAGAAGATGTGGAATAAAGTGTTAATCTTTATCCAATATATAGGCTGTCCGACTGCTAACTGCAATTGTGAAGGATCAAGAGGAATGGTCAATTCTACTTATGGTTGGCCTCATGATCGTTGCACTGAATTTTGTTTAAGCCATTTGTGGGATGTGTGCCTCGCAGGAAAGGCCAGAATGTGTTGTTCACCCCGAATTACCCTCAGAGAGGTGGTGGAAACTTTCTTGACCTCTGCTATCCATTTGATGTAGGCACATCCACACTGTTCTTAGTAAAAGAGTTCCAGTATTTTGAACCACTGACTTCAAAGGAGCAGAGACATGGTTCAATGTCAGGATAGAGTGCGTTTTAAAAGGGGAACTTGTGGGTGGTCATGCTCCCCTCATTCTTCCAGGTGGTGGAGATCATGGGTTTGAAATGAGTTGTTGATAGGTGAACTGTATAAGGTACACTCTGTTACCACTGTGCAATGGCAGTGGAAGGAGCGAATGTTTGAGGTGTTGGATAGGTTGTTGATCAAGCAAGCCAAGTAACAGTCGAACTAGCCAAATACAAAAAAAGTCTGCTTAAATCAGTTGGGTTACTGCACTGATTATGACGTTACGTCTTCTGGATAAAATTGCATTAAAGCCTAATCTGTGCATTTAGTGATACGAGAAACTTCATTGTTAATTTTGAGCTGTGGGAAAAGATTCTACTGACCACTGTCTTGTTGGAAGGATTACTTGGATCACCTGTCACAGAAATGAAGTGGTTGGCTAGATTCCAAGTGGCTGAAAAGGATTCTTAAATCCAAGAGCTTTTACTCATATATTTCAGTTCTGTATTTTGATTTGTAATCAATATTTCCGTTGTCATAATATTTTCACCTTTTTCCTGGGATGTGGGCAAAGACAGTTAGAGAGAGAGGGAGAAATTGACGATAGTCTTGCAACATAATAAGACAATCTCAGACGATGCAAAAAGATATGCTTTAATTATGCTTTTTGCCCCGATTCTGGTAATAACGTCCAAGTGACCATTCACCAATAGTGAAGATAACAGGTTGAAAATGCAATTGTCTTAAGTTGCCACAAGTGTATACATACCTCCAAATTTGTTGGGAATACACAGCCTTCTCTACTTAGGAGAAGCATTACTGCTTTGTGAAGATGTGCAGAACGTTGATGCAGCTATATAAATACCGTGCAAATTCCTGGCAGGTTGGGTTCAGTAGGGGAAAAGAAACAACTGATCTACTCAAGTGACAGCAAAATACTGGAGATCTGAAATAAAAACAAAGTGATGGAGAAACTCAGCTGGTCTGGCAGAATTTGAACACAGTCTACATTTTAAGTTCAATATAAGACTTCTTCAGACATTTGTGAAGTTCCAAAGAACAGGCACACTGGACTCAACTGATTCTCTCCTCACAATTGCTGTCAGACCTGAACTTCTCCAACGTTCTCTTTTTAGTTCTGATATATTCAGACATGACCTCAAAAGGCATGGGAAGCCAGTCTATTCTTATAATAGCTTCACGTTTTATATTGGTGGGAGGTCCATCCGAAAATATTCACGCTCTGAACTTCAAGGTGGTGAATGGAATTAAATTGCTCAATTATTTTCAAGTTGCTGTTCATTAAAGGCCACTGCATTTAATCTTAAGTGCATGTTATTTTGGCAAAAGAATTCTTCACAGGAACAAAGTAGAAAACACTGCTTTGTGAATGACTGTTTAATTATTGCATGTTATAATGTAGCAATCACCATGAAATATGTTACAATACATCATTGTTTCTGTAGTTTCCATTTGGAGTCAGGCATCAGGCCTGGGATTAGCCTTTGGATGCAGCATATTGTCGCAGCATCTGCGAGATGTCCTTGGAGTCAGTCACCTCTTCAGGGAGGCATCCTTCCCCATCCTGGATGGTGGGATCAGCACCAGAATTCAACAACAACTCCACGATATCAGCAAATTCACAGGCAGATGCTAGAACGATGCAAAGAGCAAGTGTCAGTGAACATTTCTGTGACATTAGCAAATTCTATACTATAGGATTAAAACAAAGGAGCCTAAATTTGTTTTCTGTCATCTTATTTTTGAAATGATTGTGTCCCTTCTTTATGATAAGAACAAATAGTTCCTCTATTCTGTGTTCAGAATCACCACAGCAGCAAAGATAAAGATTTTGGTAAATTGTTTTTCCATCCTTGGTCATCAAGTCTTTGGCTAGTATCTCCTCATGACTGAGATTGGGCACTCACTGTGCCCTTTGTAAGTGTGAACGTAAACCCCACGACTTTCAGCTTATATAAGTGCTTTACAACTAGCAGAGGCTAATCATTGTTAACAATTCTTCAGATAGCTTTTTAACTTCATGTTACATTTCTAGTAAGTGTTAGAGTACGATTCACATTGATAACAACTGTACCAAATAAACACAAGCTGGTTTTTGACCTGTTTAATTTGTAACTGTAATTGGAGAGGATCCAAAACCAGAAGCAACAATGATTTTCTGCATTGCACTTTCAGAACACAGAGTCTAAAAATCCAATTAGTATATTACCAGATGTAAATTACTTACTTGGAGGAATACACTTTTATTGACAGTCTCCAATAACAGACACTTTTATTACTATCAATCATTGTTTTTCAAACTGTTTCAGAAAAATAATATGTACTTAAACTATATCCCTAAATACCAAGGAGGGCAGCTGAATTTAATCAAGAACACCAATGTCATATAGGTCAGGTAGTTATAGTGTTAGAAACATAACAGTCTTTATAATGTGAGAGAAGAAGGGAGGGAAAAGCAGGGGGAAGGAAAATAACTTACATCCTTGGTCATATCATGCATTTGCACTGTTAGCAAGTCTTAAAATTCAGTCATTATTTTATTTTAATGGAGAACATGAATTCAGATCCACGAGATTACTGGTCTTTGTAACATTTTCCCACTAGTTCTTTAGATGCCATCAATATTCACTGCTCTAGCTCTCATTTCTAAATGTAGGAAATTTGGATATCTGTCCTGGGGTCAAAGATACATTTAACATAATTGAAATTCTGTTTAAAGAAGAATTTGCTCCTTTCGGACTCGCATCAAATTTCAGTCTGGTTCAATTTAAATATTTCAGATTTTATATGTTCTTTATCTTATTTTGATTCAATTAAATTTACTGAGGCCTGATGAAGATATCAAATGGTGTTCTATATCCTGCTCAACGTGACTGCAAAACGCTTGTTGTTGCTGGAACACTCCTGAAAGTTTCTTTTATCCTACAAAAATATATTACACGCTGCATCATCTACTGTAGCGAAAATTATTAATGCTGAATAGAATTGTAAAAAAAATTTCTGCATTCCACAGCTTATCGAGAATAATGATACCTGTCAGTAATTGAGAGTCCAAGGTAGCTACATAATACAAAGTAGTTTCACCTTGTTCAGATACAGTTACAATTTGGGTCTTTTCTACCATCTTCAACCTATAAAACAGTAGCAGTAACAGTTGAGTTCCAATAATTTGCAACCTCCACTACTCTAATATCTAGACAAACCTGTGGTAACATGTCCTAAGATAACGTAGAAAACTTGTTTTGAATTATTTTCGCAACTGAAATGATCCTATCTGACAAGAGGATCTTTCCCATCTGCAAAAAAATCATCATAATTGAAATGATTATGCTGAAAGAAGAGGCTGTGATTTTATGTTGGGTTTAAGTTACGATGATGAGTCTTTTAGAAGACATCGTGTTTGGCCTAGCACATGGTGGGATTTCTGGAGCGAATATCCACTCTGCAGCTCAGTTCACTGGTGAGCCAGTATGACGGGGTGTTAAATGATGAATCATGTGGGAATGGTGGGTGGAGATCCTCATCCACCCATCCACCATAGAATTTAAACCAGCTATTCCAGAGCACACAGTGGTCGTATCTCCAACATCTTTCCCTAACCTTGAGATAGCTGCAAAGCCTCATAAGATGGCCTGAATGATGTCCTGCACTCCACTTGGGTAAGTGCCATCAGCTTCTCACTGCAACCTCACATTCAGGACCATGACTCAGTGTAACACTGCCACTGTATAGGCATGTCCAACAGGCATAATGATTTCACCATCACATGCATAATGTGCACTGAAGAGCCCACACCCACAACCACAACATGCTCCCAGTTTCAAACTCTTCCCAGCCACTGTGCTTCCTACTCACTGGGGAATTCCCATCACACTCAATCCTCCTCTTCCTCTCACTGCATGACATGCTGATGCACAACCGGAGGCGAAGGACCCAGACCAACAGTGACCCTCCCACTCTCAGCATCCTCACTGTCTTTGAGGAAGGTGCAATCCAGCTGGTGGGTGAGGGACAAGACTGGTCCTGTGCTGATGGGAGGATTGGAATGGCAGAAGCCAGGGGGCAATATTATTGTCTGGTCTGCAGCTGCTACTCACTTTCTCTATATAAAGGGCTGTATATCTCCACCAGCTATTTCTTTCCCTTCTCTTCCACAGGTACGAAATGAAAGAGAAAAGAGGACTTGTGAGGATGAAGCCCGTGACACTACAAAGAACCATTACCTCCATACAGATTCACCTTGGTGAGTCCTCATAGGAGATTCAGGAAATCAATTTGGTCAGCACGTCAGTGACATATGTCCATAGCCAGTGGAGGAAGAAACACCCGATGTTTCTGATACTCTACAGACTTCTGGCGACTGCACAGAAGATGTGCCTCTATGTTCTGGCGTAAGTGATATGCTCAACCTGCAAAAACAGGAGGGGAACATCAGGCAGGGACATAGAAAACCCTCACTAGACTGAAGGGATAGATAAGTCCAGTCATCTTCTGTGCACTGTGGTGGCTCCATCATGCGAGGGCTTGGCTGATTCCAGGGAAAACATGGTGGACTCCTTGGAGATTCAGGCCCAGCAGAACGCTCATTCATTGCCAGTTATAAGCTCGAACTACATTCCATTGCTTTGGCCATGGGTGCTCAGCATTATTGACAAAGCAAGCGGGTGTGACACACTTCAACCTCACTCCAGATGTCCCTTCTTAACAAGATAGAGAGGTGCAAGCAGGTATCCACAGGGATCAGCAGCAACAGACAGGCACCCCTGGTTTCAACTCAGCCACTGCAGAATTGCCCTGCCACTCTATTTCCTCTCTGCCTGTGACCCATTGCCTATTCCCTTCAGCCTGGCTCCTCTTGGATGGAGGAAACCAGCTAAGGTCTTCACAATCTCCACAGTCAGCTGTGGGTATATGCCCTGTGACTGGATGTAGTGGCAGGCAAAGGAGGAAGAAATTGTTTTGCGGGCATCGCGGTGGCATGTTTGTTTCTTTGATGTAGATAAATGTACACATGCACTTTCACTGGTCTCGTGTTTAATGCAGCCTCATCACTGTGCTGAATTACTGATAGAGTTGTCTGAAGTGGAAGTAGTACAGCATCCTCCTATTAAAAGACATTGCTGTCCTTTCCTTGGGGAATAGTGCAGAAGTTGTCAGCATGTGACCACCTCATGATCCTGGAAGCTGGCTCACTGAGAATGCACGGAATTGTACATATTCAAGATTGGGATGTGGTTTTTATAATCCTATAGACCGTAACTGGAGTTAAATGAATAATACATTTACTTTCTCTTTGCCACACCATAAATTCTTTCATGAGGTTTTTAAAAAAAAGACTGTTCAGATGGATTGTCTTTATCAGTGGCAGTGACACCTACAAAGAATTATATAGCCTTTCGAAGTCCATATTAGAATACATTTTGAAACAATTCCTCAGTATTGTACAATATTTTAATTTCATTTAGAGGTATTGGTGGTGGGGATGGGGAGGGACGGTTAATTTGTAATTTGTAATTGGAAAGATTGCGACACCAGACACCAGTTTGTCAGTGCACTCCATCATCCAAAGTACCTAATAATGACTACATTGATTGATATCAAAATGATTAAAGTTATGCAGAAATAACCTGCAGCTGATTACTACCAAGGAAGTTGAAATCAAGTATATATTATGTGCCACACACTAGGAGCCGTATTACCCTTTTACATGCACACAAACCACAGTCAGCTCTTCATTCTTTAGAATGCTGTATGGAATGTCTCTTCAATAAGCACAATCTAGATTATACTGGTCAATAAAACTAGGAATTAAACCTGTTCTTTCTTTTCCAATTTTAACTCAATCAGTTTCACCACAGAATTAGTGAGGTTGCAAAGCAAATCCATGTGGTCATCCAATGAAAATAAAACTTTATGGGGAAGGCCTCATCAAATGTACTTTTTTAAAGGGCTGCACCGGATGTTCACTTCCTGAGGCGCTCTTCCTACAATACATAACCTTATTTCCACAATAAATAGTCATGTAAATTTATTGTCCATCACTGGGCAATTGCTTAATTACCCTGCAGAACTGGCATGAGTCCCCTCGTATGATCCCAGTCTTCATATAATGTAAACCTACATACTAGGGAATGACCATCTCCAATAACAGATCAACTAACCACGCCTCTTGACATTCAATGGTAACACCATCACTATCAACGTCCTTGGGGTTACCATTGATCAGAAAATCAACTGGGCTCACCACATCAACACAGTGGCTACAAGTGCTGGTCAGAGGCTAGGAATACTGCAGCAAGTTACTCACCTCCTCATTACCCATAAGCCTGTCCACCTTCTACAAGAGACAAGGAGTGTGATGGAATACTCCCCACTTGCCTAGATGGGTGCAGCTCCAACAACACTCAAGAAGCTTGACACCACCCAGGACAAAAGGAGCCTGCTTGATTGCACTTTATCCTCAAGCTTACACTACCTCCACCACTGATGCTTAGTTGCAGCAGTGTATATCTTCTACACCTTCTCAAGGGCAACTAGGGACAGGCAACAAATGCCATCCAGCCGGTGACACCCATGTCCCGTGAGTGAATGAAAAAACTATCAATCTGTGCAATTTATGCTATAAGTCAGAT